GAACAATTCCCTCAGACTCTAGCTCTGAAGAAAGGAGATAAAAGTCCTCACTGTTCCTCATTTAAAGGAAATTGATATGAAATAAAAATGTGGGAGCAACAGATGAAATATGCTTACCAGGCAGCATGTTCATACAAGCAATCTGAAAATTTTAAGTTTTATTCTTTTAAGTTGTCTGAAAAATGACTACTTTCAGAATAGTATACATTAGGGGTTGAGTTTTGTCCCACAAAAACTTTTATGTTGAAGTCCTAACTCTCAGTACCTCAAAATGTGACCTTATTTGGAAATAGGGTGGTTGTAGACGTAGTAAACTAAGATGAGGCCAGGCGTGGTGGCTCATGCCTGTAATCCCAGTACTTTGAGAGGCTGAGGTGGGTTGATCGCTTGAGCTCAGGAGTTGAGACCAGCCTTGGGCAACATGGCAAACCCCATCTTTACAAAAAATGCAAATATTAGCCAGGTGTGGTGGCCATGCTTGTAGTCCCAGCTACTCATGAGGATGAGGCGGGGAGGATCCCTTGAGCCCCGGAGGTGGAAGTTGCAGTGAGCCTTGATTATGCCACCGCACTACAGCCTGGACAACAGGGCAAGACCCTGTCTCAAAAAAATAAATAAAATAAATAAATAAACTAAGATGAGATTATCAGATGGGTCCTAATCTATTATATATCCTTATGAAAAGGGGAAATTTGAACACAGAGACATGCATAGAGGGAAGGGGATGTGAAGAGGAAGGCAGAGATCCAGGTGATGCTTCTCTGTACCAAGAATACCACACATTACCAGCAACCCATCAGAAGCCAGGGGACAGGCATGCAGCAGATTCTCTCCCATAGCTCTCAGAAGGAACTTATCCTACCAACACCTTGATCTTGGATTTCTAGCCTCTAGAGCTGTGAGATAATAAATTTCTATTGTTTAAGTCATCTAGTCTGTGGTTCTTTGTTATGCCAGCTCTAGCTATAGCACATACACAAGAATAAATCATACTGCAATTGATCATAATAAAAAGTGATCAAGTCAGTGCATGGCTATTGTGTTTCCTGAGTAAAGATGCTAATAATGACTAACAGTCTTCTGGGAGATGCTTAAAGAAGGTGTAATAACATTTGTTGTCAGCAAGGGAACCATTAATGTACTGCCGTGAGCAACCTTGCTTCAGTGGCACTTCATTAGAATGAAAAGATGTTTCTTCCCCTTAACATTTTAATATACTGCTTTAGTAGGGAGTAAACTAGACCCAAGAAGTATAATCATTACCAGTTCTGCTGGCAAGGGAATAAAGGCAATGTTTGCTCTCTGATATCCATAAATTCTCTTCCGATGATCAAATCAACAAGCAACAAAACCATAAAGGATCAGGTGTAACAATAATCAACAAAGTAGATACCAATATGTCATGTGCATTTCCCCACAAGATGCATGCTACTTTCACACTTGGAATGGCTTGGAGGCCGTGGGAAATGAGACTGCAGTTATCTTGTCCCACAGTTCCCTCTGGAAGAAGAGCTGCCCCTCTGGCCACGCCTCTGATAAGGCCATTTCTACTCACCATCCCTCAAAATCTCATCCATTCTGACTTCCTGTACTGAGCAAAACATTGAAACTCTGTATTATTGTAATTAATTGCTTTTTATGTATTTCATTCAGTAATTTATATAACAATGAACATTTGTGAGATAACTACAATAAAAATGAGAAACAAGGGGTTTAGAAGCTTTCTTCTTATCAGAGTGCCAGATAACCTATCTATTGAAGGCAGTGATTTCTACCTCCCAAACTCAATGGTTCCCTCTGAAGATCATGCTGTGTAAGTTACAGAGAGATAAATCTTTCTAATTTTCTGAATATTTCCATCCAAGAAAATTAACTGGGTCATCAGCCAAATAAAGGCCATGACTTACACAACGGTAGAATTACAGCACTGCAAAGAACCATTGAAAATGCCAGGAATCTTCATTCCTGTATCCCTGACATGCTGCAGAACCTACAGTTGATTTCTTTCAGTGACTATAGCTAACTACTTTGCAAAGCCTCTCACTCCATTTTTGGAGAGCAGGATAAGCACACTTTCTATAAATATGTGGGCCATTTTTCATCTGTTTGATGTCATCCTTCAACCATAGTTGTCTGGTAGAAACTCGTTGGGAGAGGAAAAAGCAGACTGCCTTGGATGCCTAGCTAAGTGGCTTTGCTTTCCTAGCTGATTTATGTAAATCCAAAAGGAAATAAAAATCAGATAGCAAAGGGACGAACTGCAAACACTAACAAGTATTAACTAAATAGTTGTATTTACTAAGCATCTACTATGTGCCCATCACTGTTACAGAAAGTTGCAGAGGGAGAGAAGTCAAAGATACCATCAGTATCCTCAATTAATTGAAAATACTATCTGACCATGATTAAATATATTAAACAAATTCAAAAGCAACGGAAGATCTAATGTAAAGAGTGAAGTCCTAAGTTGGTCACCTAGACTACATTTAGCAAGAGTTCAGAGGGTGGTAATAAAAAATAGTGAATTTGTAAGAGTTATCATGACGCACCTTGGTTGACCGTGCTTTGGAGGATGAGCAAGATTCAGAAAGTCATGGGAACTAAGAAGGTTTCTTTGAGAATATACCTAGATTCAACGAGCAATTATACAACTGTTCCAAAACCCACAAAACAAGATTGTGAAGATTCTGTCGATAATTTTTAAAGTGAGGTGAATGGGAATGAGAAAGGAATGATGAAATGTAATCAAATATGAGTATGGATTGGGAAAATACCACTGCATCCAAGGACAATCTACAGAGAAAATTAAACTGACGTTAACTTGGGAATTTTTCCAGCAGACAGATTGGATAACTGATTTGCATTTTTTCTTTCAAGGAAGATACAGGATGTTACTAAGGAGGTGTTTTTTTTTTTTTTTTCCCTACTTCTCAGTCATCTTTAATATCTCCATTATGCAAAAGTGAAAAGTTCTCATTCAGCCAATGAGAGTTTAAACTGTGTACCCTTCTTTATTATATACAAATGTCCTTCTCCTCCAGGATCATATAACACTTTCAGAGACGTGCTTAACCACCTGATTAATTACTGGACCTCTGTAAATTACTTTCAAGATTAAGATGATTATTTTATCACTTATTCTGCTTGATAGGCATTTACAGTTTAACACATCTGACAAAGCCATTTGCATACCCCTATAATACAAATGGAGGTACATTAAAGCTACAGTAAGTCTGTAATATTAATAGCCTTAAAATAATTTGCTAATTACAGACAGTTCCCAAAGCAATTACAAGACATTCTATGTTAATTTAGGAAGGAATTCCAAACAAGGCATTTAAAACCTAATAAGATGCTATTAAATGAAGGAAGACAGAGGAGAGGGGAAAAGAGGAAGAAAACCCTAAGGCTTGAACTAGTAGAAATGATTCTCAGAGCTACTGACCCTTGCAAGATCCATGTTTTCCTTGGGTTTTTAGGCACAAAGCAGAGTTCTAATTGATGGTGATTATATAGTTACTACATCACAAATTGAATATATTTGTTGAATTGGTTCACATCAATAACTCATCATATGGAGCATTTACCAAGCTGAAAGTCCATAGAAACAGTTGAGTCAATTTATCAAGTGCATACCATGAGAACATGCTCTGTAAACTGTGAGGTGCCACCAAACGTCACAGTCTGCCTCCTAGTTTTCATACAGATTTATAAGCTGAATTACAATGCTTATAAACTGGAAATAAGTTTGACAAAAAGATCACAGAAAAGAAAGCACCTGGCTTGCTCTTGGGTTTTCTGAGGATGTAGACACCAATATGAGTGCCTGCTATTCCAGAGAAATATACACATTGATATAGTCAACATCACCATGAGAAAAAGAAGAATAGGTCGGGTGCGGTGGCTCACACCAGTAATCCCAGCACTTTGGGAGGTCAAGGTGGGTGGATCATTTGAGGTCAGGAGTTCAAGACCAGCCTGACCAACGTGGTGAAACCCTGTCTCTACTAAGATACAAAAATTAGTCAGGAGTGGTGGCGGGCACCTGTAATCCCAACTACTAGGGAGGCTGAGGCAGGAGAATCACTTGAACCCAGGAGGCGCAGGTTGCAGTGAGCCGAGATGGTGCCACTGCACTCCAGCCTGGGTGACAGAGCAAGACTCCACCTCAAAAAAAAAAAAAAAAAAGAAAGAAAGAAAGAATAGTAACATACAATTCTAAAAACCAAAAGACAAATTCCTATAGAGCATATTTTATCTCCATAAACTCTACCTGAGAGCTAAGTGCCCAACCAAACATAGATAACCTAATAAAGACAACGCAACAGTAAAGAAATACGCAGACTTCTACAAATGCACAAATGTGCCTCTATAAAATATAGTTCCCATTAGTTAGGTTAATTAAGATTAACATATAAGTCATTGAAAACTCCCAACGTAGACAAAAGATAATTCACCAAGGAAACACACAAAGACAAAAGTAGCATTCACTCTGAGCCATTCAGTTAACAGATTGGAAGGAGGTTCCTTGTTAATTAATACTTGAGTTGTCACCACTGATTACCAAAATGGCATGCATCCGAATAGTTCTGAAGATCAAAAGATAATCTGTGTTTTTTTTTTTTTTTTAAGAAAAGTTCTATGAACAATACAGGGTGGTACACAGAAAATATGGAAGTGAACCTGATCACACATATCATAATTTCTATTAAACAGGTTAAACATACACCCACATCTGAGTGTTTTACTCAGATGAATGAAAGAGCTTTAGGCTTTGTTTTACTGAGATGAATGAAAGAGCATTCATCTTGAGAATTTTTCATTGACTTAGCATAGTGTTTTCACCCAAATAATAACCTGCCACTATATTCCAAGTCAAATGTATCACAAAGAAGCAAAGGACTACCATGGACTTATCCAATGGAGAGAGTTACATTCCAGTTGCTCAGACTGCAATTGTGGGAAATTGATCATTGCTAAAAAAGCATTCCCACCCTTACCTCAAGGTTCATGCTCACAGTACTAATGGCCACTTTTATTTCTCCATCAGACAGTTCCTTTAGATCTTTCAACATTGTCTGTTCAATACTTAAACCTGTGGATGACAGGAAAAAAAAGAAACCACTATGTTATAATTGAGGTATTTTTTTTTTGTAATATCAAGGGATTGTTTTAAGAATTTACTCTGTAAATTTCATTCTTTTCCCCTGAAATGTCACTTCTATTCACAACACACACACACACACACACACACACACACACACACACTAAGGCAATAATCACATCACGTCTGCATCAGTTAGGATCCCAATAGGAAAAATGCACCTCTTTTGCTGCAAAAGAAGATGTGCTAATGGCAGGACACTTACAGAGATGTGGGCTGGACGAGAAAGTGAATAAAAGATGATGAGGCATCCGGAGGCTAGCAAAGGGACCCAGAAAGAAAACAGAGATCTGGAACTGGAGAAGACTGGGTGCAGACACGTCCACCAAAGCAGGAAGAAGGCAGGGAAGATCCACTACACTCTCACTCTTCTCCTTGCCCCCATCCCTACCTGTTCCTAACTCTTCCCATTGGTCACACCCAACCAGAAGCCAGTGTTGCAGGAGCACATAAGATTAAATACTTAGGGGTCCACCTCTGGAGCCCCAGAGCAGACAAAGGCAGGAAATGGACAGGTGGAGGTGGACAAATGAAGAAAAATTAGCATCACAATGCAAACTAGTTAAATAATACCAAACAAAGCCAAAACTGGCTTTCAGGCTGCATTTAGGTAAGCCCCCATGTTTTCTAGTATAATTTCATTCAAAATGCACTTTATAAATGTGACTCATAAGACTATCTTAATTAAGTTGCTTACCCTCATAATAGGCTCTGACAATAGGAGTTATTAAATTCCCTAATTAATGGGAGTAATAATTCAGAATGGCTAAATTATCCAGAACTGCATAGTTGTAGTCAGTTGACCAATGGAACTCAATGAAATCTATCACAGTAAAGCAGCAAAGGATCTGGCTTAACATTTAATTCTCACGCTACATTATTACGTCTGATTAGGCCTACTCTCTTGGGAGGAAGATCTATAATAAAGCCTAGTAAAGCACTGCATCCTTCCCAGATGTATGTTAAGGCTTCAGAGACCACTGCTAGCGCTACCCACTTAGAACGCTCTGTCAATCACAGCAGCATAGGGGAACAGACAGTTACTAAATATGTTTCTTTGACTCAAAGATTGAAAAGCCACAATCTTTTATAATGCAGCATAAAATGATTTATTGAAGACATTGTGACATTAAAAGTTTGGTGTCATTGTGAAAATGAATGACAAAACACATTCCCTTGTGCAGCATACACACACGTACACTCACATCTATGCATAGGTAACAGAAGGTGCAATGGACACTGCGAAGGCCCCACCCCATTTCCTCAAACTTTCCCATCCCAGTACACCCAGCATGATGCTCCACCACCAGCACCTGCCTCTCTTTTCCTGAGGGCTTTCCTTGGCCACCAGAGCCTATGCTGGAGAATTAAGGCCCTCTGGGACTGAGTAGCCCACACTCTTCCAGTGGTCTGCTGGTAAATGTTTAACAGCCAGTAACAAATCCTGATTTGTAGTGTTTGTCGATTTCAGGGATCTAAATACTCCTACCATGGCTGATCTCAAGCTACCAATCCAACATCACCCAACTCCCAAAATTCCTGAACATTTAACCATCAGCTCCTGGAGCCCAGATGAGCACACCACTGCATCCCTCAGGTGGGACAACCCTGAAGTACGAGTTTACCCTCTTTCTCGTGGTGTGTGGTGGGATTAAGCTCTGGTTTCCCATGGAGCCAACCTGCTTGCTGAAGCATCCCATTCCCCTATCGGTGTTCACTGGAACCACCTCCCGCATAAACCACTTTGCCTCAGGCTCTGCCCCTCCTGCCCCTGGGGACGGGGTTCCTGAACTAAGAGAGAAAGTTATGTAATTTAGTGTTTACATCTTAAAGACGTATAGGCTGGGTTTAGGTCTGGCCTGGCCACCTGCCGGCTGCGTGTGTTTGGTGTTGGGAAAGCAGTGAAGGCTTTCTGCACTTCCGTGTCCTCCCTCATCTGGAGACTGGGACAACAAAGCACTGACTCTTGGGGTTGTCATGAGGATTCAGCAAGATCATCCTTACCAGTCTACTCCATCAAAACCTGTATAAAGCAGGTATCCAGTGAATTATAGCCATTTATTATTGTAAAACAGTTGATCCAGGAAATTCACTGTCCTGACAAAGCCTGGACACTGACAACAGTTTCATCAACGTAGCCATCTTCTCGCTCATTTCCTTCTCAAACTAATTGATTTATGAAATCCCATTGTGCTTGATATTGCTCCTCCCATCTTCTCAAAAATAGAATCCCGTCAGCACAAGGACTGCATGCAATGATGCACCTGAGACGTGCACTAGACACGTGAATCAACCACACATCTAGGCATGAAGGCCTCAGAGTAGAGGCCACAGTACAAGCTGTCTGTTTCCAGGGGAGCCAACATTATGTGCCTGAAAACCTTCCACCAGCACAAGCAATAGGAAGAAAGTGAAACACATTCAAATGTACCTTCTCAGTCAGGCGTGGTGGCTCACACCTGTAATCCCAGCACTTCGGGAGGCCGAGGCAGGTGGATGACTTGAGGCCAGGAGTTCGAGACCAGCCTGGCCAACATGGTCAAACCCTGCCTCTACTAAAAATGCCAAAAATTAGCTGACTGTGGTGGCGCATGCCTGTAATCCCAGCTACTTGGGAGACTGAGGCATGAGAATTGCTTGAACGTGGGAGGTGGAGGTTGCAGTGAGCCAAGATCATGCTACTGCACTCCTGCCTGGGGGATAGAGCGAGACTCTGTATAAAAAAACAAAGAAACAAATATACTGTCTCAGGGCTGATAACACTCCACGCCACAAACCATCCCTACTCGTGAGGAACGAGAGAGCTGGGAACAGAGTCACTCACCCTGAGCACTGAACTGGGTCTCCTGTAGGACGTTGATGATGTCCTCTCTTGGAGGTAAGTTAGGAAATTTTTCTTCCAGGACAGAAAGAATTTCCTCCTGCTTCTCTGAGATCTTCTCTGATTCCATGGTCATCCACTTGAAAAGAATGCTACCTGAAAGGTATGAATAAAAATGCTCTTAAAGCTTTCCAGTCAAGCCAGAACAGGGGCCAGGAAAATCAGTGTTTCCCGGCCTCTCAATCTAAGCTTTCCATTCCTGTGTCTCACCTGGACCAGGGTTCTCCACATGTAACATTCAAGAGCCAATTTTTAGAAAACAATTGAACCATCATCCAGCTTCATTACTCTCCAAGTGCTGCTCTCTACAACTTAACCGACCCTAGCATACTCTATGGTACAGAATTCACAGATAAAGGAAAAAAATGTGCAGCTTCCCCCAACTCCACACAAACACACAAAAAGATGCACATTGGTCTTAAGTGATTTCAAAAAGGAAGTTAGTGGTAAACTATTTAAAAGTCTAATCAGCCTTATTTCCTTTAAGGGACCACAGAGAATGCTGTTTCCACTCATTATATTATTAATTTTACATATAAACTTCTTCCTTTTCACACTACATGAATGTATAATCCCACTGTCAATAGCTGAGGACTCTGACAAGGTGGTTAACCTGACGTCCATTACTGATCTCCCAAGCATCACACACAGTTTTAAAGTCATTTACAATTATCTAATTATAAGGACTCACATGCTGGGTCTAAATCACAGGTTTAAATTACAAAGTAATTTTCCAGTATGAAGGACCTTGCACAAACTCCTGTGACTTCTGTGGATAATCTCATCTTGAAACGGAGGAGTTAGCACCCCATATGTACTCTTACTCTTCCCCGCATTCCAAGCCCAGATTAACACAGAATCGCCATGGGAGAGAGAAGTTTCGCTTAATGATGAATGATTAAACTCTCTAAAAATCCCCAAATCTCTTGACTAATCAAGGTACTACCATCTCTGTTTCAGTGTAGCCTTAACACCAGTCATCGGGGAGGGAAAATGGAAAATAAATAAAAGAGGAAAGAAGGTAAAAGGAGAAATAAAGTATCCAGTGAGGGAAAACTATGGTACCCAATCCAAACACAGGGCCTGAGACCTACAGAACCTAGAGGTGAGGTCTATGTTTACCATCAAACATGCTGGAAAGTCCCAAGCAAGTCATCTGGCCTCTATTTCCAGTTTCCCATTTTTAAAACAGGAATAATACTGCTTTCCCAGCTCATAGTGTTATACTAAGCATCAATGAATGTAAATATCATAAAGAAAAGTAAATATTGCTAAATATATGTAAAGCATGTCTTCCATTCATTCCCTCACAAACAATTACTGAGTGCCTTTTATGGGCCAGGCACTGTGCTCGATGCTAACAATTCAAGATTAGACTAAAGATAACCTTGCCTCTTGAAGCTCACAGGAGATTACAGGTTACAAATAAGTAAGCACAGACATTTTCAATAGCAGAGAATAAGAAATATTATGGGTGAAATCCATAGTACTCTGAATCTAGGCCAGAATTTAGGGTTCAGAGGAGTCTTCCTAGAGACAGTTAACCTGAGCTGAGTTTGAAGGGTATCTAGGGACTCCAGGCAAAGGCAAGAGGGAGGTCATGATCCAGAAAGAGCCTGTGCAAAGGCACTGAGGTGGGAGGGAATTGGGCCAGTTCAAGGAATAGAAAGCAATTAATTACAGTTGGATAGCATGATTTTAGCAAGGGAAATGTTGAAAAATCAGGTTGGAGAGAGAGAAGAGGCCAGACAAACTTTAAGGCAGCTTGTAAGGCCCTTCAATGTAAGGACCATTTTTATATTTTATGTTTTAAGAGGGATGAGAAATCTTTAAAGAGTTTTAAGTAGGGAAAGTAACATGCTCACATTTATGTTTTAAAAGAATCACTCTGGCTATCACGTAGAGAAAAATTTTGATAAGGAATATGGGGAGGATCAGTAAGGAGGCTGTTTTGGGTAAGAACGAAGGAAAGAACAGTCAGCACACAGAACTAAACAGATTCCATTTCCAACAGTCATTTGAAGGTGGAGGGCAGCCAGCTGGATTTTGTGTATACCCTGTGGTCTGTCAATCTCTGACATAAAACTCACACTATAAAGATTATTTTTCCAGCTGGGCGCAGTCGCTCACGCCTGTAATCCCAGCACTTTGGGAGGCTTAGGTGGGTGGATCATCTGAGGTCAGGAGTTTAAGACCAGCCTGGCCAACATGGCGAAACCCCGTCTCTACTAAAAATACAAAAAATTAGCTGGGCATGGTGGCAGGCGCCTGTAATCCCAGCTACTTGGGAGGCTGAGGCAGGAGAATTGCTTGAATCTGGGAGGCGGAGGTTGCAGTGAGCTGATATTGAGCCACTTCACTCCAGCCTGGGAGAGAGAATGAGACTCTGTCTCAGAAAATAAAAAACATAAAAATAAATAAATAAATTCCCCTCTTTATTAAGGCAATGGTAAAAATGAATTTCAGAAAAGATCTTTATCTGCCTCTCACTGTGATAGACTGCTTGTACTAAGAACAAGGATAAAAGCTAGATCAAGTTTTTAAAAATCTGTGAAAGTATCACAGAGTTACCCAAGTAACTGTCTTGGAAACTCAGGTCCTGGAGAGAGGGTAAGTACAGAGAAGTGAGCCCAACATTTGGTGTTGCTTTTCCTCTTGGGGTATTTGCTAATTCATAAGTGATAAAATAAACCACTGGGCTGAAAAAGTTTGCAAATCTAACAGAAGTTTAACAGCCTATGGAGACAAAAATTAAAGTTTAGGGCTCTCTGCAGAAAAGGAGTCTTAGTTAAGTAACCCGGTTTTGAGACGGGACCCCTAGAGAGTTACATCCTAGGACAAGGGTTGGAAAACTACAGTCTGAAGATAAAATCTGGCTAATTGCCTATTTCTATAAATAAAGTTTTATTGGAACACAGCCACGTTCATTAATTCGCTTATTGTTTATAGATGCTTTTGTACTATATTGACAGAGTTGAGTAGTTTCAACAGAGACTGTAGGCCCATAAAGCCTAAAATATTTACTATCTGGACCTATACCAACCCCTGCCCAGGGAGAAGGGTGAAGCAAAAATTGGTCAGTCTTCCTGAGGACCGAAATCCTGATTTGAATTGGCTTAAGCAGAGAATAGTTTTTTTTATCTGCCACTCTTCTAACTGTCTTTGGGGTACAAAAGTAAAACCTCTCAAGAGCAAAAGAATTTTGTCATCTCTAGTCTCATCATCTGTACACTTTTCATATACACTATTCAGCCATCCATAACAAATTGCCAATCATAAAGGAAATAGAAGAAATGACTGGAAACTCTAGAAGAATAAATTCATGAGGAAAAGAATAGAAACAGAATCAGAGGGGATTTTAAACATAGCTGAAGAATTACAATAGAGAGTTAGAATCTGTAAGTAAAATAATCAAATGAAAACGTAAAATTGTCAATTTAATAACTTAATTGAGAACTCAAATGTGTTTACAGCAGATTAGATGCATGGGGGAAAAGATTTAGTGAATTAGAAAATAGGTCAGAAGAAAATAACCATACTGAAGCATGGAGAGAAAAAGTGATGAAAAATACAGAGATGAGCTTAAGAGAGACGGAGAAATGGAGCAAAGTCTAACAGATAGGCAGTAGTTCCCCCTTGGAGAGGAGAGAATGAAGCTGAAGCAATATCTGAAAAGGCAATTGGTATACTCATTTTTCAAAATTAATGAAAGACATTACTCAAACATTAAAGAAAAGCTATGGGTTGGGCGCGGTGGCTCACACCTGTAATCCCAACATTTTGGAGGCCAAGGTGGGTGGATCATTTGACATCCGGAGTTTGAGACCAGCCTGCCAACATGGTGAAACTCCGTCTCTACTAAAAACACAACAACTAGCCAGGCATGCTGGTGGGTGCCTGCAATCCCAACTACTCTGGAGGCTGACAACAATGACTTGAACCTGGGAGGCAGAAGTTGCAGTGAGCTGAGATTGTGCCACTGCACTCCAGCCTGAGCGATACAGCAAGACTCGAAAAAGAAAAAGAAAAACTATGAGCCCAAATCAGGATAAAGACGAAGACAAACACCTCTAGGTGCCTGATAGTAAAACTGCTAAAAAAAAATTACAGAGAGGAAAAAAAAAAATAAAAATTAAACCAATCAGAGAAAAAGGGCATTAAAAGTATGACTGACTTCTCAATTAAAATAATGAAAGTCTAAAGACAATGGAATTCTATCTTCAAAGGGCTAATATAAAATAATTGTCCATCTAGAATTCCATACTGAGCGAAAACAATTTTTTTTTTTTTTTTGAGACAGAGTCTTGCTCTGTCACCCAGGCTGCAGCACAGTGGCACAATCTCTGCTCACTGCAAGCTCCTCCTCCTGGGTTCACGCCATTCTCCTGTCTCAGCCTCCTGAGTAGCTGGGACTACAGGCTCCCACCACCACACCCGGCTAATTTTTTATATTTTTAGTAGAGATGGGGTTTCACCATGTTAGCCAGTATGGTCTCGATCTCCTGACCTCGTGATCCGCCCGCCTCGGCCTCCCAAAGTGCTGGGATTAGAGGCGTGAGCCACCGGGCCTGGCCAACAAATTCTAAAAAAAGGCAAAATAAAGGCATTTCAGAAAGAAATGAAAAAAGCTGAAAGCATGTGTCACAAGATCTACACCAAAAGAAACAGTAAAGGCAGAAGAAAATTATCCCATAAGGAGGCAAAGAAATGCAGGAAGAAAAGAAAAACATTGGATGATGTAAACATGTGGGAAAGAAAAAATTCAACATTCACTGTATAAAACAATTATAGTAATATTTTAAAGAGTTTAAAATTATAGTAATATTTTAAAGTTTAAAATATTATATATGGATGATTAAAATACATTTTAATAGTAACAAACCAAGGAGGGGCTAAGTAGAGGGAAGGTGTTTTAGGTTCTCAGATTGTCAGGGAAATGATAAAACTATCAATTTATATGATATTTTAACTGTATCTTGTAATTGCTATTGTAACCACTAAAAGAATATAAAAAACACTTATTTAGCATATAGCAGTAAAGAAATGAAAAGAAGAAAATGTGTGACAAGTAGGAAACAAACAGCAAAATAATAAAC